GGAGAGTAGAACAGACATAAAGAAACGGAATAGGAGAATGTTTTTGAGGGGATTTTTGTGTGTTTTGGTTTGTTCAAAAGATTTTCTATCTAGATCTATCACGCAAATTGCACCAGTTACAAAGGTCGACCATGTGGTTTAAATAAGTTTCCCGAGTTGAAGAGAAGCACACCAACACAACAGCTGCTGTCAGTTTAAGCAGGGAAGATAAGTAAGAAAAACAGACACTAAACAGAGATAGTTAAGATGTAGAACCCAACAGGGTTGTCCTTCACAAGAAAGAAAAATGTTACACTCACGCTATATTTCCAGAGAAAGGAGACAAAAAGAAATTCACAACGAGAATCGGAGCAACCCTTTTCGAAACAAGTTCGAGAAAAACGGTGCCGTAGGGGGAAAAAGTGAGAAGGAATAATGTAAAGTAGAACACCACTGTTGGAAGAACAGAATAATACAAACAGAGAGTAGGCGGTCTGAGGAAGACAGACGTACTTGTTAGAGAATAGAAGCTGTCGAACAGTATTGTTCTTGTAACCTAATAATAGCCTTATACATGGTATCAGTGGAGACAGAAAGGGCCTTGAACCTTCACCTTTGTAAATCGCCACTCCGAGTTCTAAATTTGCAGATCAAATTTCTGATCCAGGGATTCTTTTTCTCCCCCTTTTATGTGATTTAAATAGTAATTGTTTGTCAATCATAAACTAAATTTGACCTTGAACACTCAAGGAGGGAGAAATGTAATAGATCTTGCCAACTATCATAGGTAGCTATAATGGTAATGAGAAAAGTAAAGGCCTTCTCATATGGTTAGTTGGTTAAAACTCCTGAAAGCTTTCCTGGGGTTTTTAAAGAAATATTTTCTACAAACAAAGCCTTGTGGTCTGCTGGGCCAATGCCAGTCTCGGCATTTGACTGTCATGACTTTTTTTTCGTTTATTTATTTATTTATTTATTTATTTATGTATTTATTTTTGCTTTTCTGATCGGTCCTACTCATCATCATAAAAGGAGCAGTCTAAGTCTTCAGTGTCTTTAAAACTTTTTTTTTTTTTTTTTTTTTTTGGGGGGGGGGGCACTATTAGTCCACCCTCCGTCTCTGACTTTAACGACTTAGGAAACACAAATGTCTATTTGAAGGTGGATGGTTGGCGGGTGCTGGGGAATGGTTTGCTCCCATCAAACATCTCTTGTCCTGATTCTCACCTCTTTCTTTTCTTTTTATGTTACATAGATCTCTAGTAATACCTCTAATCTTCGGCGCTTATATGACCTTTGTGTTGCCAAAGCCGCGAAATCCTCACTAAAACTTTTAGTAAAAGTAAAAAGCTAAACCCGAAGGCGAGCCCGAATCTGTCAGATTTGGGGGCTCTATATTTTTGGTTGACCAGAAAGCAATGGGTTGTCTATATCTCCATGTCTGTTCGAGGAGTCTTTGTCATTCAATCATTCGGGGAAATAATATTGAAAGGACAGAAAAAAAGATAAACCAACACTCTCCATACGTCAGTGAGTTTTTTCAAATGATGAATGTGGCTTCAATGTTCATCACATCCTTAGCATACTATGAAATGCTCTTGTCTCTTCTTTGGTCACTAAAAACAATGTTTATGATTGTTCTATAGAGTAAGTAACGTATTCCATTAAATATAATAATACGAATATAGTGAAAAACCGTCAGCTTTCCATTTACTTCAACCGCTGAAGAACGTCATTTTAAAGTCTACACTCTTAAAATTCTCCAAGGTCAAGCAACAGAAAGGAAAACATCCTACTCAGAACATGCTTTCAAAGTCCCCTTCGGATTTGACAACTTGAGTCTTTGCATTTTGGGGTTGATTATGAAAAGGAAGCGATACAACAGGCAAGAATAACTGATCAATTACTTTTTTTTAATGGATGCATTTAGGCTACAAACGTTAATGCGAATGCTCCAAAATACCCGAAACTCCAAAGTTCAAGGTTTGAACCATGCAGTTGGGGACAATGATACTCCTTGTTTACAACAGCAGCCAACATATTTTTTAGAGAATAAGACTGCCTACCCGGTACCAACACAGTAACGAGGTACTTGTGCGTGTGCGTACGCGCGCGCGCGCGCGCGTGTGTGTGTGTGTGTGTATGTGTGTGCGCGTGTGTGTGTATGTGTGTACGTGTGTGTGTATGTGTGTGTGCGTGTTTATATAAATACCTATATATAATATATATATATGAGTGTATGTGTGTGTGAGAGAGAGAGTAAGAGAGAGAGAGAGAGAGAGAGAGAGAGAGAGAGAGAGAGAGAGAGAGAGAGAGAGAGAGAGAGAGAGAGTTTGTGTGGAAGTGGGGGAGTTAGACAAAGAACATGGGGGGAAAAAGAGCGAGAGAATGGCAAAGACAGAGACAGAGATAGGGTAGGAGGAGGGGGAGGGTGACTGTCCATTATTATCTATAATGGTGATTTCACCCAGACTGTCTCTAGTACCCCTATGCAGACTATTTTAGTACCACACACTTCCAAGGAACCCCGTAACACGCACTCAATACTAGAGAGTGCTAAAAGGACTAGGTTAACATCATTGCCTACCAGACGGGCAAGCGGAAAAGATGCTTGTTGTCAAGCTCCCACAGTTTAGTGTCACTGAGTTCTAAAATACAGCAAGAAGGCACGATGGCAACCATAGTTTCGCAGAGAACACTAGAATCACTAAAATGAAGTAAAAAGAGGAAGAATACTGAGCGTGTTTAGATTCGTAGCCACAAGATATAATCACTTAAACTAGCACACAGGGAATTTAAGTCTTCGGGAGAAAGGGTGAGTTGTTACTTTATTTCTAAGACAGTGGA